AGTGTAAAATGTATAATGTAAGGCTGGTGCAATAAGTGTTTGTTATACAATTATTTTAAGAAACAAAACAACCAGACATGTTTAGGGGGAGAAAGGGTTAGGTAGTTTATTTTTTTGGGTTGTTTTTTAGATTTCCAATTGATACATGTACAAGCAGTACTTCATAAACACTTTAAATTTCAAATATAACAATTATACTTTGGGTAAAATGGATGACATTTGGTGAGAGTTTGGGAGACAAGGAACATAATAAATTTAGAAAACTGCCAATCTAGTCATCTTATTTGGAGATGTGTAAACATTGATAGCTGCCAGCACTTTGAATGTATAAACAGAACTATATGCACAGAAGTGCATCTTGAGCACTTAAAGAACCACTTTTGTTTTAGCAAGCTACTTTCTGTAATCATTACCCTATTTACTCCCCATTCTTCATTATTGCTGATTACTGTGTTTAAACAACTGTCTTCATATTCTTTCAGTATGTCACAAATCAGTTTCTCGCTTCCACCATGGAAGCATCTGTGCTTTTGTAGACAGTGGATTATGGCATCACTGAATAAAATCAAGTATTGGGTATCATATTACAAACAGCTTTTATTTAAACACTAATATGCTGGCAACCAGCATACTGGGAATAAAGTTCAGAAGGAAGACTTAATAGGGTTTTATATATTTTTAAATAGAACAGCACTGCAGTGGTTCTTTAAGGGGAGGGACATTAAATACAGTATTGGTGCATCTATATTCCAAATAATAAAAGCCAGATGTGGATGGCTCAATCTTCATTTCAGTATCAATGGAGTTACTGTGCTCAAATACAAGAATGCTGGATAAAACCAGCTAGAATACTTTAAATTATAGGCAGGGCTCTAGCTCTTAGCTATTTATATAAACATGTCTCTTCAGAGACCTTTACATTGATAGATTTTTAGAACCTTTTTAGTGTACTATAATAATAGTTCATCCCAGCTAAAGTCACTTTTATACATTCAAAACAGGTGCATTTTACACAGATTTATTTGTGTAGCTTTTTTTTTTGAAAGTTTTTTTTGTTTTATTAAAAATTCTAAAAGCCTCATTTGCACTGAATTTACTTAAAAAAACAGCTTACAACAAAATCAAACAACGTGAATGTTCACTGGTACTTAAGTGCAAGGGCACAGCCACGTGTGTGCTTTTACAGTTTTCTTTAAACAAAATATTTATTTTTTAAATCAGGCCATGTACTCAGCATGGTCATCTTACATTCAGCAGTTTTGTACTAAAAATACTTTTTCTGCAGGAAAGCCCAGCATAAATTTACATATGCTACAAAGTTTTACATTTATTTACATGGCTCTTTTTTCCCCAACCTATTTAAACGTTTCATACTTACCACAAGCAACACTAGTTTAAACAAATTCACATTACAGGGTATCCAATTTAAGACTAGCCCAAACAATTCTATCATTTCAGCTTTTTCAAAGATATAAAACATACAAAAATGCATTTTAAAAACTGCTCAGTGCAATCCCAATAAAGGAAAGGTTTTAGAAGTTTTTTGGCAGTCACCTGGCAGTGCAAAATGCTTTTGTTAGTTGGCACATTTCAAATTGTACAGGTTCAAAATAAAAATGCATTTCTAGATTTTTTAAATGATCAAGATGTCAGGCAATTTTGTCAAATTATTTTTTACATCCTTACAAAACAATCTGGGGGGAGTAAATTTCCTAAAAACATCTAAATTTTAGTCACAAGTTTGTCTGCCTGTCAATCAGTGATTAACAAACAAAATAAAAGCTCGCTAATATAATTTAAAAAACTTCTCTCTCCTAGGGGCTAGATGTAGATTTAGGTTGTAAAAAAAAGCTCTTAATTAGCTTTCAACAGATTTCACACAATTAACTGATCTGAAACAAGTATGAAAGATACTAGTTTAAGGTTTGAGTACTTCTGTAAACTTACTTTTTCCAATCAAAGCTGCATTACATAATGTAAAAGTTGGTTTTCTGCCACAACTTTCTTTCCAGTGGGAAAAAAAAATCAGCATATTTTAAGTGGTCACAGTTCAAATTCCAAGAGCAATACAATACATTAGCATTACTGACCACCAAACTTTGTTTAGATTGCATACTGATATTGCAAGTACATAGTTTGTCACAGTAAATGCACACAACTCTGAATGATATGAAGAGTTAAGTTGGACATCTCTTGAAGAGAGGTCCCCACATCATGTGACTCAATTTTTATATGCAGTTAATATCTGATTCCATAAAAAAAATTGTGCATTTTGGAACTATGAATTTAAACTAACGTTCTTAAATTTGAAACCCTGTAAAAATTTAAACTTTTCAATTTTTAAAGTTTCATCTCAAGCCTGGACTTTAAGTAAGGTTTTAAGTTGAAAGGTCATTATTTCTTTATCAGAAGGATTAAAGGAAACAGGTACCCAGTGGCTTGGTGGCTTAGGAAGAACACTTGGTGAAGGTGGCTCGCTAAATTTTGCTCCAGCATAGTTCTGATTGGTTTGAGATGTGAAAAGTGAGTTGGGACTTGATAAAGTAGGACTCCAATTCTGATTATTTGGGAAGTGCACAGTGTTCTTGCCCCCATTTTGCATGGCCTGCCATGCAATAGATGATGAGCTACATCCATGTCCTCTTTCTTTCTTCATATAGGTCATCTTCATTTGAGAATTCTGATCTTTGCTCTTTTGCCTGTTATTAAGTTGTTTGTTCTTCTTGGTAATATTTCTAGACTGGGGAACTGGAATGCTGAACCTTTCTCCACCACCCATCTTCAACTTAAATGTCACCTGTATGAAAGGGAGGAACAATAGTCAGTGGGAGCGCTGAATGAGACACTGATTTTTCAAGGAAAGAAAGTTAAAAAGTTTGTGAAGTTCTAAACAAAAGAACTGAAGTCAAACTATACTCCCACTAAATTAATTAAAGGCAAATGTATTCCGATAGCAAGAGACTTCAGGTAGAACACATGATACCATTTTATAATTCTCTGATTGGACAGACCTTAATTAAAAGTGTGGGGAAGGGATCTTTAAATACCTAGCCCATTTGTAAATGTTAAAACAGAAGTCTAAATGTGTTTATAAATTCTGTAATAGCAAGGTCTAACTATTTTTTTTTACAAATTTGATACCACACGTTATTAAGTTAGCCCAGAACTTGGCAGAGATCAGCACTCAAACGAAGAACAGCTAAATCCAGGTAAAGATAGCAGAAGAAACACTTCATAGAGTTACAATACAGACTCATGGTTGAAGATGCATATATAAAATTGGTCCAGTCAGTCCATAGTTGAGAAGTTCTCACAGCTTCCTCATTTATGCTAAACTCTCATATAGCAGTCATGAGTTGACACATTCTGACATCAATGGCTAGATAGGAGACGATATTCCAACCTGGCCGCCATAAAATAAGCCTCAACTCCCTCCTGACTGAATTCTAGCAATGCAATCTACCTATGACTCTCCAAATAGTATGAAGTGCAGAAGTTCCTCCTCAGCAATACAGGTTACCAGAAGCACATCAAACCTGTCCTCCACTTCTTACACAGGCTCCCCTAGAATAGTGTATCAAATTCAAAATATTAATCCTACTCTTAAAGGTGCTTAATGATACCTGTGATACCTATATCACCCAAAGCTCGGCAGTTGACAACTGATTACTGCACAAGATGTGTGTAGGAGCAGCTTTCTTGGTCCAGTCCAAGAGTGAGGAGCCAACTTCTGCAGAATCTAAGAACCATCACATCCCTCCCTTTCTAGCTGCAAATGCATTTCTTTCAACCTTGCCTTCACCAATAGAAACATAGACCATGTACTCTCTTAAAATTAAAATAAAAACATGGAGCCCCTTCTCCCTGGAGAGAAAGGAAAAAGAAAAGAACCACACTTTTGGTGGCAGATAGCAGATTACTGAAATCCACTCAGATACCATGGTGATGGGCATGGCATAAGAAACTGTAGAGAGAATGAGAATACTATCTGGAATCTAAAATCCAATTTCAAACCACTGCTTTCCAAAGCACTTGCAGCTAAGCTTGTAGCCAAATGACTTTCTTCCCCACTCACATCTTCCACAGTCATTATTATCCCTTTACCTTTCAGTCTTCTTTTCCGACTCTCCAGCCTCCACCTCTCGTCCCCTTTCCTGCTGCCAAGCCTGAAAGAGTAGGTGCTGTCTTCTGTTGGATCCCTTCCTTTGGCTCAGAATGGAAGTTTTCATGGGCTGATCTGCTGTGTTCAGCCAGGAAGCCGAGCCCAACATCGGATTCTCAGCACACAGGCTCCAGAGGAGAAGTCTAAGCTATGAAGACAAAAAGCAAAACATTTGAACTCAGGTAAGGGAAAAACAGGTGCTAGCCAAAAAAAACAATTTGGGATTGAAACTAACTACCATTTGCAGCAATTTCTAAAAAAGGGAGGGGCTGGAAAGAATTCACACAAGGGACAAATACAAATAATTTGTCCATCTTGGATCTGAAAAACATGGGGATAATATTGATTTCACACAGATGTTTTCTGCAAGGCTGAATTATTGTATACTTTATTTGTATACTACCAAGAGCATACCAGCCATGTTACAGAGATAAAAAATTGCTACATTACTAATACTCTAAGCTCTTATTTTTGCCTACAGCTTTATAAAGCACGAAAAGGCAAGCAGGACTTGGCTCTTTATTTAAAGAGTCAAATATAATGGGAGGACAGTGATTTGGGATAGAGTCCCAATCTGTTAACACCTCCCCGGGGCACTCCCGTTTAAGTCAACAGAACTGCTCACAAAAGCAGGCAGACACTAGGGTAGAACAGGAGAGTGTTTGCAGATACCAGCCCTAACTTTCCATTTAAAACATTTACAGTTCAACCTTCAGACACTTCCCCTTTCGGTACAGCTCACTCAGTCGGATGACTGAGCTCTCCAGCTGATGCTTTCCATTTAACAGTAACAGGATACACATCCTCAGTCTCTAGTCCATGTAGTGAGCAGCCCTATGAACTCATTCTTCCCCACCACCGCCCTCATGGTATCAAATCAATAAGAGGATCGGGTCATTAGCTCATCAAATTATTTCGTGTTAAACTGCCCCGCCCCCACTATCCCACGCCCTCCCCTGAAGCGCTGCAATGAACCAGCCACCCGCTCCGCCCACCTTTCCAGTACTTTGTTGTGACCACAGGCCGGCTCGTGGCTATTCAGTACAGGGGGCTGTGGGTCGGAGGGTTCCACACGTGCGCGCCAGGGTCCTCTCCCCCACACGGCACATAACAGGGGCTTGTTACTCCCGGCCCGGGTTACCGTTCCCCAGCCCCGTTGGGAGCTTCCTTTCCTCGGCCACAAAGTTCCCCCAAACTCTTCGCCCCCCGCCTGATCCTCCCATCCCCCAGAATCCTCCGTGGATTTCGCCCCCCCCCTCAATCCGCCGCCCCCTCCTCAACCCGCTAAACCGTCTCCCCAGCCGCCCCAAACCACCGGGCAGCCCGGTGTCAACAACATGGCGGCGGCTGCGCTCAGCTCATCCCGTGTCCCCTCCCCCGCTTACCGACTTCTGTCCCTCTCACTCGCTCACCCACCCCAAGCCTCCGGGAATCGGCTCCCACTGCCTCTCCGCCGGCAACGCCACACCCAGAGCCCCCCAAAGCGCAGCCCGGGCCGCGGCTCCGCTGCTGCTCCGCTCGCTACCTTCGCCACCCACACAAAATGGCGGCCGCCTTCCTGCGCTGGATACCGCCAGCCATCACCCGCCCCTTCTCCCGGCATTGACCAATGGGAGCGCGAGGCATCCCCGCCCCGGCCAATAGGAGCCAGACCAGCCTGTTGCTGGGGCGGAAAGGAGGCAGGGTGGGGAGCTTGGAGCTGCTGTTGTTGTAGGTTTGAATTGCCTCAGAGAGGAGCATGTCGGGAAGGGAAAGAGAGAGGGCTCAGGGGGGTCCACAGGGTCAGGGAAAGGGGCTGTTCCTGGAGTGGGGGGCTGGGGGGTCCAGACTGAGCGAAATAAAGGCGCTCAGGGGGAGCTGGGGGCCAGACTGAGGGGAAAAGGGGCAGCTCATGGAGGAGGGAGCGGGTGGGGGCACAGTGAGAGGAAAGGAGGTGCTCAGAGGGAGGAAATGGGGGGGCACACAAGAGAAAGAGGCTGTTCATGGAGTAAGACGTTGGGGGTAACTGAGGCTTGGTCTACACTACCCCCCCTAATTCGAACTAAGGTACGCAACTTCAGCTACGTGAATAACGTAGCTGAAGTTCGAAGTACCTTAGTTCGAATTAGTTCAAACTTACCTTGGTCCACACTCGGCAGGCAGGCTCCCCCGTCGACTCCGCGGTACTCCTCTCGGCGAGCTGGAGTACCGCAGTCGACGGCGAGCACTTCCGCGTTCGACTTATCGCGTCCAGACTAGACGCGATAAGTCGAACCCAGAAGTTCGATTTCCAGCTGTCGAACTTGCGGGTAAGTGTAGCCAAGGCCTGAGAAGGGGCTGCTCAGTGGGGGAGTTGCACTGTAAGGGGCGGGGCCGTCCCCAGCAATTTCTCTGGCCCCTCATCAATCATTCCTAAATTAGACACCTCCCATGAAATACCAGTGTCATTTCCCCTTTATATCCAGCATCTTCCTGCTCCCTGACAGAGTCCACAACTGAAGTTGGTCCACTAAAAGATACTACCTCACTCACCTTGTCTCTCCAATATCCTGGGACCAACCTGGTTACAATGGAAGATATTGAATGATGCTGTTTGGAATGGAAACTCCGCAGCATAAAGAAAAAGGAACCCATTGCAACATCTGCTTCCCGAGCAAATGCAAGAAATGAAACATCATTCCCAGAGGACTCAGCATATGTTACCTGCTGACCACTACAAACAACTCCCAATATGCTGAACAGCTCTGTAGAAGGACTTCAGAAAAACTAGGGCACCATCTCCTCCACCTCACATACTCCAAAACAGCCATCAAAAACATTTCAGAAGTTGGTCCCAATAAAAGATATCACCTCACCCCTCCCTTGTCGCTCTAGAGTCCACACCACATATGCTGTGTCTTCCCGTCCAGCTAGAGTTCACATGCAGTACTGCCAACCCTTCAGATGAAAAAAATCATGAGTCAGCCCACTAAAATTGTGAGGTTTTCATTTATTTATTTATTCGTTTGTTTATTTTGGTTTTTGCCCTCTGGTTTCTGAGCCTTTAGAGTCCACTTGCTTCCTGTTTTTAGGCTTTTTCCAAATGAGGAGAACTAGAAACTTTTGAAAATAAAAGCTGAGATTTTCATGCAATTTCCTGATTTCAGTAGTTGGAACTTTAAAAAAAGATCCCAAATCACAAGACTACCAATAAAAATCACAAAAGCTAGCAACAACATACATGTGCAGATGCACATACACACACCTCCAACTAGAAAATGCCACCCTGCTAGTCCATACAAATACCCCATTGTGCTTTCCCACCCTGATAGACTCCATATGTGCTTGCAGCATACAAGATGTATGAATTCTTCCAGGCACAAAGAGTGTGTGTAAGTTTATGAAAGGCTTAGGGCACAACATTTAATAAACCATTTTTAAACAAAGTTAAAATACAGCTTCCCATAAACAACATGAAATATCCCCCATATCCATCATCACCCAAGCTCAAGACGTATTCTGAGAAAATAAAATAGTTCTACACTATTTTCTAATAATAAACATACTGTCCCTATTTTGCCAACAAGGGAAACAAATTCAAGAGGCAAAGTCCCTCCATTGAAAATACTCTTGCCAACATCCCTGATGTTTATATTTGATAATTATCAGTTCAAGCAACCTACCTGATTTAAACTGCCTGCGTGGCACATGACACTTGGCCTCTCCAAGACGCAGAGCTTATATACTGTCTTCTACCCGCTTTGAATCTCATATATAGATTCTTGTTGAGATCTTGGCTTGCGTCTGAAGTGTTAAGTGACCAAATACCATCAAAGATGGACAGTTCTTCCTTAGAGAAGAAAGGATCCTTTGTGTGATTTATACATAGATTTCAGGATATTTTATTAAACAAGCAGGCTTACTGATAGTATATACAGCACAGTCGTTTGAAATAATCAGTTATATTATGTATAATGTTGCCCTTCTCCCAGGAGAGGAAAGGGATTTCTGACTGCATCTTTTAGAAGTATGATTTAGAGATTTGAATACAATTTCCCCAAAGATGAGTTTAAATCTTTTTTTAATGTTCTTGTTTCTAAAGATGCAACCCAGCAGAGCTGTGCACTCAACTCTCTGTTAATCAAAGTTTGAACAGATATTTTAAATGTTTTTGTAAAAAGTGATTATTGATAAATAAAACAGAAAGTATATCAGCTGTATGAAATCGGATTTTCACATGACCAAGCCCATATATTACTACATACTAGCCTAAGAATTAACGTTTACTAGCTCACTCCCTTATTAACATAGCTTCTGGTGCCTATTTCCAAGCATTAATACCAGTGCAATATATGTCTGTACTTGCCATTTACATTCCAGAACACTTAGGAATCTGTTTAGTGATTTCTGTTGAGATTATTTTGTACTTGTCTTCCCATAGCAATGCTGAACAGAAACAGAATAAATAATTAATAAGCAATATATTTATGAGTTTTTCTTTTAATTTTTAGGGCCTTTGAAAGGTTCCAAATTTACCACACTGGATACTGACATCTTCCATTTATCAACAAACTAAGAACAGCACAAAGAGAGCAGGCAGAAATAGCCAAGCTCCAACATGCATAATCCCTAAATTAGAGGAACTATCAATGGGGCAAGAAAGTAGTTTAGGGCTTGTCTATACTTAAAAGACTGCAGTGGCAACTGCGCCACTGTAGCGCTTCAGTGAAGACACCGACAGAAGGGCTTCTCTTGTCGGCATGGGTGCAAGCGCTCCTGGTGAGGGGACACACCACCAACAGAAAGAGGGTAGTGTGGACATGAAAAACAGCAGTAATTACTGCAGTGGCTCTAAGTTAACCTAACATAGGTCAACTTAATTTGTAGTGTAGACACATGGCCTTAGTACCTTTTCCAGACCTGAAGGAGAGGTCTGTATAGCTCAAAAGTTTCTCTCTCTCACCAACAGAAGTTGTTCCAATAAAAGATATTACCTCACCCAGCTTGTATTTATATCCTGGGACCTACACGGCTACAACAACACTGCATACAGCTCTGATAAAGACAGCTGTGTCAATTGAGGTGGAAGGCACTGGATCTCAATTCCTGTCTTCAAATAAATGATCATAAGAAACATTTGCTGGAATCTTTGGATATTAAGACTACATATTGATCACAAATTATATCTGGTGTGTCATATTAGTAGTTGGTTAACTAGGGCCTTTAAAATTGTTTGATTCAATTCTCCCTGATTTTTTGTTAACTGTGAGATAAGAAAAGGCTTCAGTACTTCATGACCCTTGTATGTTTAGCCTGCCTGAAATTATGTACTCTTTTGGGCACTTGTTTATTGTGGCAACACTTGTATAGTTTATCATGCTAAAGTATTTTGAATTAAAATGAAACATTATCACTAGTAATGTTATCAGTAAATTGCTTTTTTGTGTATTAGTGTTAAACTGTTTCATTTTTAACAGAATACAATTTTCGCCTTCCTTTGCAGCGTAGGGCACGGGTCACTTGCTGGAAGATTCTCTGCACCTTGAAGTCTTTAAACCATGATTTGAGGACTTCAATGGCTCAGACACGGGTTTGTTACAGGAGTGGGTGGGTGTGATTCTGTGGCCTGCATTGTGCAGGAGGTCAGACTAGATGATTGTAATGCTCCCTTCTGACCTTAAAGTCTATGAGTCAATGTCTGTCTATATCCAGGGTGCCCATCACCACAGTATCTATGGGCAAATAGTTTGCACCAAGGAGCCATTTATGGGATTAGAATAACATGAGATCTCGTCTTCTCATGGTATTTCAGTTTGCATGGGAAAAAGACAAAGCCTGATTGCACATTATTGCAGCTCAAATATAAATCCCATAGGGATTAAAAAAATGTATGAAAATCAAACAAATCATAGAACCTTTAAACACACCCTGTCTCATGCCTGGTGTTATATATATATATAACATAAGAGTTAGTAACATAGTAATTGCCATGTAGGATCGCACCTCAGTGATCATTCTAATTCAATATTCTGGTAGTGGTCAATACCAGCTGCTTCGGAGAAAGGTGTAAATTCCCAATAATGGCTAATTATGGCATAACCTAATCAGAGAGTTTATTTCTAACCCTAGGTGAAGCACTAAAGCATGGGGGTTCATATACCTTATAATATTTTTAATCCTATCTGATGTAACTGTGGCTGTAAAAACAACGTTTTTTTAACAGTGTGTGAAAGACAAAGCAAAACATTTTCATGAAACTATTGGGTCATCCTTTTTTAAAAAATGTTATTTAAAAATAAAATTACAAATCCTGACCTATCACAGGAACTTTTGTGTGACTGATATTTGTACTTGTATTTTTTCTACTAAATACAAACACTTTCTTCACCCTAACACTTATTTATCAAGAACTGAGTCCCATGATCAATTCATACTGTATAAATTACTGCCTTTGCTGCTAGCCAAACCACTGCTTTCTAACCATTTCCAGGCCAACATGCATCAGGCCATGTGGGTCAAATCACCAAATGATTCCTTAACTTGTGACCATCTTTAAAAATCCACTTTCTCTGAAACCCTTTTGAATGTGTTGTTTTGTCTGCAGTCAATTTCAAGCTCCCTCTTTAATTATGTGTTTTAAATTGATAATCATGAAGCTGAGTTCAAAGTGATAATTGTACATCCACATGTCTCCAATGAATTGGACCCTTTTCAAATTCATGCTATTCATTATTAAGCACAGGAATGAATCCCATAGCTCCTTCAATTTCCAACTGTACATTTTTGTAGTAGTTAATACTGCATATGGAAGGACAAAAACTGCGTCAATAGCTAAAAGAATTTACTTGTTCAGCATATTTGAAACAATTTTCTGTGTCTAAAGTTTCCCCAGCTGGATCTGAACTAAGTGAGTTGTTCAACCATGCTGCATATTTTATTATCTGGATGAATCAGAATTCATAAAGCTTAAGTCTACTAGAGCTTCTCATTTTAGTCTAATAGAAAAATATGCATTACATATTAAACCTGTTCTTCACACACACACACACACACACACACACACACACACACTGTTTACAGAGGAAGGACCTCAAAATGAATGATAGCCCAAAAGTTAAAATAAGAAACTCTAAATG